CTCTCTCTCTCTCTCTTCGTCCCCGTTTCTTCATTATCTCTCTTTCCGTCCTCTCCTATATCACCCCCTATCACTACACAACACCCCCCCCTCCCTAGTTTCGCACGACCACCCACTACACCCCACCCTTTCATCTCTTGTTATTATCAGCTGCAGCCCAGAGGACGGCCCCAGCAGATTTCATCCACAGATTCATTTATCTGTCATCTGTTGGGGTGTTGCCTCTCGCCTCTCGCGCTCCTCCGTCCTCTCTAACCCTCTGCTCATCCCTCTGTCAGTCCTCGTTCCCTCCACTGCCTTTTCCTTTCCTTCCCTTCCTCTTCCCTCCATCCGCCCGATGCCCAAAGAAAGAGTGAGACAGAGATAAACACTTGGACTAGATGGCAGCCTAGAATTAGCATAGAAATGGAAGTTTGGAGTCATTTCCCAGGTTCAGATGAGCAGCTTCTCTCCTCTCGGCACAGGACTGTTAGCAGGACAGAGTGTGCATGTGTCCAGATATATGGGTCCTGCATTCACTTATACAAACATATAAGATAAAATATATAAAAATGCAGACATTTTTCTCTTTGTTTCTTCAAGGGGTCTGCAAATGCTCATGCGGGATCCCACACAAAGTTTCGTGTCCATCAAGACACAAACACCCGCTGTGTTGAAACACACACTTGTGTGACTCGGACAGGCCCTGTATCAACACACTGCCAGGCTGCTTTCTATCTCTCTGTTTCCTCTCTGTTTAATAGCAGCAGACACTGCTCCAGTCCAATAAAAACCAGTCTGACTACTTAGTGCTGGACGCCCAACTGTCACAGCCCTAGACCAGAGAAAACGCTTCCAGCTCTTGAGCGCCTCTATCAAATCTCTTTGTTCCGCTTCCATTATGCTGTGTTCAGAGCCCAGCCATTGTAACTGGCTGCCACAGTGGCGTCCAGACCCAACCATGGCACACAGACACACACGTTCACACTCGCTCACACACACACACACACACACACACACACACATACGTGCACAGGCAGAATCTGGCGGGCTAAATACAGTTGAGTCACACTTAGTCTCCTCGATGTGTTTGGCGCCAGCTCTAGTATTATGGAGCATTTGTGTGCGAGCGTTGTATGTTTGTCCGGCACAGGAACACACTCAGTTCCTCCTTTCCCTAATTTCTCTCCCACAGGAACTGTAAAGGGAAGGACTGTTTGCGTATGAGTCTGCTCTGTCTGACTTGTGTGTTTGGTCTTGCAGTGCCTGGTTTGTCACCACTCGTACACAAACAATCTCGCACGCTAAACCCTACTCTCCCTCTGTGTTGGCTCTTTTTTTTTTTTGCAGGAGGTGGTGTTGTACTGTCTGGAGAACAGAGTATGCGAGGTGAATCACAGAGACTACGCCGGATACTGCGCTCTCCACGAGGCGTGCGCCCGCGGCTGGCTCAGCATCGTCCAACACCTGCTGGATTACGGCGCCGACATCAACTGCAGCGCACAGGATGGCACCAGGTAAACAAACGCTGTCATTCATATGCAACCGCAATCAATCCTGTGCTTGCTTAGACGCTCCGGTTTGCACAGTGCAAACACAGTGCGTTTTCTTTCTACATTTCCTAATAAAGCAAGCTGGGAGCTTAGTCATCAATTAAGTGACCCGAGCTTGCTCGTATCTAAATTTTTGCGATTTATTGCACACCCTTTTTACGAGAGCTGCGATTTGACAGATTGGCTGCAGTTTTAAATGGGAAAGGCTACTTCTTTCATTGCTCTGTTATTAAAATTTACAGTAGGGGGTCTATTCTAAGAAACTGTGCTCAGGTCTTAAAGGAATATCATGTAGCAGTTTCGCTTTAATTAAAATATTACCAGATTTGCAACATCCGTACTGTTATATTACACAGGTTGGACGTTGCTAAGACAAATGGCAGTCGGATAAATCAAAACTGCATTTTACTTTATGACCCACTAGGTCAGAGTTTAGGGGAATACAAATGAGTAAAATATATTTTATGGTGCAAAAGTGTTCTTTTTAAATTTCACTGAATAGCGAATAGTGCCAATAAAATCACCTCCTAATATGTTAATTCAATAGAACACCAAAGTGTAGAATGATCAAAACTGAGACAAGAGACAAGTTATTTCACATTTTTAATACTTCACACAGCATTTTTAACATTTATCCAGACATTCATTTGCCTGTACTGTCAGTGCTGTTCCTGTTGGGTAATTATTAAAATAAATGCCCCTGTCTGTGCGTCCAGACCGATTCATGACGCCGTGGAGAATGACCACCTGGACGTGGTGCGAGTCCTGCTGTCTTATGGCGCTGACCCCACCCTGGCTACATACTCTGGCCGTGGCCTGCTCAAGATGACCCACAGCGACGGCATGGAGCGCTTCCTCACTGGTAAGTGTGCTTTTCTGTGTACGAAAACATTTAACTCAGTGTTGGTTTGCGATCACAAACGCTTGAAGTGGTATTTTCAATGTCTCCGATAAAGAAACTGCACAGCATACAGATTTTACAGTTAGTACAATTTTTTTGTTGAGCTTGAAAAATGACTCACAAACAACAGGCCCACTGAAAGTTTAATTTAACCCTCTGAACCCTAAGCAGTTTCTGGGCTTTATTTTTTTTTTTTTTTGTGCTTCTGTCGCATTTTTCATCACTGTGGGCTCATTTTTCACTGCAATATAAAATCATACACCTCTATGGGAATGGCACAACCAATGCTAGAAGTAGAGAGAACAAAAGAATGGTTTCTGTGCAGTTACGATGCCATAAATCATTTTAAAAAGGAGAAGAAAAAAAAGAATTTCTTTGTTTATTTTACAAAAAATGAATCCGCATGTACAATATTTTCTAAGTTTCCACAGGTGTAACCAATAGTAGAAAAAAAATGGTGGCTCCAAATACTATAGATATTTTACGACTTAGATTTTTCAACTTGTTTGCATACTTGTCTCATATCTGCTTTGTGTAAACACTGGCTGCAGTTCAGCCAAAAAAGTCGCAGAATTTTCGTCACGACTGTTGGTCACAGCTGAGTCAGTCGTGGCTTCACAGTTGCAGAGAGGAGCACAGAAAATAATGTTTTTTCCCCATCATGACTTGAAGCTTAGATTTGGTTAAGTGTCCTGACAGAGCCATACAGCACATGATTAGGACTGTTGGGAAGTTTAAAACCTTCTTTCTGTGTCTGCGGTCCTTGCCTGTGAAATAAACCGACACTTCTGGTGTTTGAGAGGGTTGTAATCTGTAAACTGTAAAACTGAAATTCCCCAGATGAAAAAAAAGTACATATAATGTATACTGCTTTTCCTTTTTGAAACTAAAATGGATGTTTTGAATGCTTATAGCACATTTAAATTTAACCGTTTTGCAGTGAGTGGAAAATTTTCTAGCCTCACGCAGACAAAATGAAATGCAAAAGCCAGAAAAATTTGAATATTAATGTGCCCTTGACCACAAATCACAAAAATCACAAATGCTAGAAAAGGAGGCAAAAGCCTGAGAGATGAAAGGATTTCGTTTTAGCCGACACGCACACACCAGAGAGTGGACACCAAGGTGGGGCGTGGGTAAACTTTTAAAAACGTTGGTCGCCAACCCGGTTCCCAAACGCCCCCATCTTGGCTCGCTCGCTGTTTGCTGTTCTTTCAGCGCTGTGACCTCTGTGCAACCTGTTGGTGTGAGTCCCCCCCCTCTTTTGTAAATCCTGATCCCGCACCTCCCGACAACCGCTAGACATGTCCATGTCTGTCATCCCGTCTCCCCTCCGGCGCCCTGCCTCCCTCACCCATCCCTCCCCCATCCCTCGACCACCTGTTAGATAGGGAGTCTCAGCCCGCCGGGGTGCGTGCTGCTGCCTCTGAGCTCCTCTATCTGGTTACTTAGCAACGGCAACTGTGTTTGCTCAGCGTACGTGCGGAAATGGGCCTCGCTCTGGCTGGAGACTCTGCGTTTTTGTATGCGTGCATGTGAGCGCCTGCCTTTTCACAGGGCTGCCACGCTACAGTGTGACGTGCGTTGTGCGAGGACTCGTCTGGATGTTTGTAGTTAAAGTCGAGTCAACATGTGCAGGGGAGGAGAAGGGAAATGAAAGCGCGCAGACACACGCTTCCTCTGCAGCCAGCTGCTTAATATTACCTGAACTGGTTAAAAAAAAAAAAAAAAAAACGAAACAGAAAAACCTTGCGGCACGAGTCACAGAGAGGCGGACAGGTGGGCTTAAAATGGAAAAAAAAAAAAGGAGGGTTTTTGCATGTAGACGGCTGGAAAGGTGGTGTTGAATTTTGACGGGGTGGATCGATGGCGGGGGGAGAGATCGAGCACCGGAGAAAATGAGCGAGAGCAAGCGATTGCTGCCCTCCCTCCACCTGGTCCCACTCATCTGGAGGCCGTTAATCCCTCCAAACACACGCCAGACGCCCCACGCCTCAGCGCTGGCACCGAGCCCAGCTCTCGCTCTGCAAATGCGCGTGTGCTGAATACACACCGCGCTCTCGCAGCGAGTGTGTGTGTGTGTGTGTGTGTGCGCTTATCCAGCTCCCTCTGCTTGTTTGTTTCCAGCTCCCCGTATATATGTGTGTGCGCATTTAGCGAGCTGTGTGTGGTTCTTGTTTGATTCCTGGCAGCCGTCTGCGGCCCTGCTCTGAACTGAGCCAGCTCCAACCCGGCGGAGACAGTCACTCTCCTCCCCCGTGGTACAACCGCTGGCCCCTGACCATCAACACCGCCCCCC